ACAGGGCTACACTTAGAGACAGACAACCAAGCACACTCACATTCACACCTACGGACAATTTAGAATCACCAATTAACCTCAACATGTTTTTGTGGGAGGAAGCTGGAGAACCTGGAGAGAACCAACGCTGCACGGGGAGAACATGCAAACTCCACGCAGAGAGATGCGAACCGACGACCTTCTAGCTGCGAGGCAACAGTGCTAACCACCGCTCACCTTGTAGCCCCCTTAAAGAACATATAAATACAAATTGGAGCTTAACTTTTTTTGAATAATCAGCTTGAAAACTTGTGTTTATGCTACCAATCATTAAGGACGTGGTAATTAAAAATACCTGTGATTGTAGTGGAAAAGCTCATTCCCTGAACTCAGTATAGTTTGTTGGTTGAACATGATTTCATTAGAAGTTGTCTTAACTCAAAAAAAAATATTTTTTTAAAAAAGTGTTAATTTTTTTGTTTGAGGCAAAACATTATGTTTGTGTGGACAGTTTGCATTGATTAGTAATTTAATGTAAATCTGGATTAAATGGTGACGTGTCTACAGAGTCCAGAGCACCCAGAATGAACCTTCTTTCAGCTGCAGTCCTTCTCAAACCTTCAATATCTCTGCTATTGTTTGAAATCTTACTGGCTTTGGCAAAAATGGTTGTAATAAATCCCTTCACTCACTAGTAACAGCGAGTGCATTTAAACTGATGTAAAGAAACAGCAGCGCCGTACACTGAGACAGACGTAACCTTTTGGATTCAGCAGCTTCGTCACATATCCAGATATTTTTGTACTTGTTCAGTCATTCAGTCACTTTGTTCAACTGCTGCTATTGTTCCTGCTTATTTGCATATTGCATTTAAAAGAACATCAAACAGAATTCAGTGTTTTGTGCAGTCAGCGCTGCAGGCTGCATGTCTTCTTGTGCATTTGCGAAGGTTTGTACCGATTCTAAGAGCCAACAAAGCAAAGCATTCACTGTTTTAACCCTGAGGCTGCCTGTTGGTTCACATTAGCACCTCTGCAACACAAAAACATGTCACACTTTGGTTTTGGTATCACGTCCAACCACAGCAGGCGGCCTGAATATTTTGGATGTTTGCAGTGAGAGTCATCTGGTCGTCCTCATGTTAATTTCACCGGTTTTATTGTGACTGAACCTGAATCTCTGCCATATGAACCTGCAGCTGGAGCGGCGCAGGACCGGTGCCATGATAGCAGATGGAGCCTGGGGAGCAAATGGAGAGGGAAGATGATACAGGACGGCACTTTGATGATCCCCCACGAGGACGCAGGGAGGCTGAAGATGAAAATTAAAAATGCTGGAACATAAAAAGAACATTACAGAGAAGATAGTGGTTAGACGATGCAGAG